AGCATGAAATCCGCAAGGATCAGCAACTGCAATCCACAACTGCATCTTGTCACGCAGGTGTCACAGAAATCTGGGTCTCAAACTAGAACGTAAAAGCCTGAAGTATTCTAGATTTGAGACCATCAAGCATCCATACCTTGATACTGATATATGAAGCTTATTCTTTACTCACATATAGTGGTTTGCTGAGCAGTGTTTGGCGTCGACTCGACATAGTGACACCCAGTCATCAAAGTTACTCAGTATAGCCACTCTATAGTCGTATGACGAGGAAATATCATTGTTGAACTGTCTGAGGGCGTCAGTTCGTCAACCATCCTGGATTCTGCCTTTGTTTCAGGTGGGCGGTTGGGTAGCCTAGTGGGGAAAGCGTTCGCTGTTCACGGCGAGAGCCTGAGTTTGGTTATTCACATAGAGTAGTGTGTAAAACGGATACCTAGTGCTATCTCCAAAATCTCTTGGTTTAAGGGTTGAGGTTTAACTTCCACATAACCCAAGAGAGAGCCTATGTCAGCCTATCAAAATATACTCATACATAGTCTTCTGTAGTTCGAAACTGGCAGACATGATCCGCTTTTAGAAACCGGAGTTCAGTGCAAGAAATTTCTATTGCCTTTGTGATCACATATGTGCACGTGACGTAAGCCCCGGATGCGGCCAGTGACGTAGTGGTACCTGTCGCCAAAGTCCTCTTATCACATGAAAAGATCCCAGAGTCAGCAAACACTTTCCCCGATACAAAGCGGATCTTGTGTTCCAGCTGTCTAGTGTTAGGGTGTAAATCAGCTGGCCATCAAGTCATTCTCCTGAGACAGATGTCCATCTACTGTGATAAATAGTGTCATGTTAGTGTTAACTGATGCACATTGCCTGGTGGACTACGTCAGTCACAGAGCCACGTGGAGACATGGAGTGGAGCTGGACTGTGAACACGCGACCACGTGGACAGTGGTGAAAACAAGTTCTCACGTGAGAATTCGAGATCAGATGACTAGGAGGAAGTTATTACACTCAAGTAACGAAGTGAACCACAAAACATCACTCGAATGAGTGAGTGAGAGGAGTGGGTTGAGCCTGGTGGAATAGGGTGAAGTAAAGTGAGATGACAGAGGATTGCCTTGAACTAACTGAGCTAGTGAGTGAGTGAGTGAGATGGTAATGTTTAACCCCACGTCAGCAATCTTGCATATATTCGCGGCCAAATGACACGAATGTCTCTAATGTTGAAAATGAGTGTCAACATTCCAGATGAGACTGGAGTGTCCTTGTTATGCTGCACGTGCTCGTGGTGTTTTCGCTGTTCCTTGCAACACATCAGTGTGAGTGAGTAAGTCAGTTTCGTTTTACGTCGCTCTCAGAAATATTCCAGCTATATGGCGGCGGTCTGTAAACAATCGAGCCTGGACCAGTCAATCCAGTGATCAACAGCATGAGCATCGATCAACGCAATTGGGATACGATAACATGTTTCAACCAAGTCAACGAGCCTGACCACCCGATCCCGAATCTTACCACAGGCATGGGTTACTGAAGATCAATTCTAACCCGGATCTTCACGGGGGCACATCAGTTTGAACTAGCCGCCTGGAGCATGTCGTAAGAGGCGACTAACGGGTTCAGACTCGTTAACTAGTCTGCCAACAGACCCTGAAACAAATATATCCAAGAAAGCCCATGCAAGTCTAGAATATGTGGCAAGTCTAGATTTCCAAAGTTTCAGGTCTGAAAATGAAGAAAGTCTCAGGGTTGCTTTTTATTATATATATATTTTTATTATGAACTGTTTTTCTAAAATATGTTCATTTGTTAGTCTAACTCGTTAACATGCTTGATGCATGTCGTCGTATCCCGACTGTGTAATCTGGTGCTCGTGATGTCAACCACTGGAATTTAAGTATTTCTGGGCGTGGCGTCCAACACCAAACAAAAGTCAAAACACACTGCCAAGAGGCAGCCCGATAATTGTGAGTGGTTATAGTGGATGTTTGGTAGTGGCTGTGTTTGGAGTCTCGATCTTTAATATATTTCACTTGTCAGTGAAAGCCTGTGAGACCAAGGTGTCTTATAACTTGGTGAAATTCTTTGCAGGGAAGGTGTTGGTGCTGGATAAGTATTGAGCACCACTATGGGAAGAACCCATCCAGGATTCGAACCCAGAACATGGAATGAGCTAACCTGACAGATCACGTGGGAGAAAAGCCCCATATTCCCTTGACCATGGTGAAACGGAGTAGACCCTCCTCTACAGACAGTTACTTGAATCATTATCTGGAAATCGAACCATGATCGCACCTTTAACTATAGCACCCTGAATTAGCTGAAGACCAACTATTTATGGCTGCTGTAGTTAAATGTACCATTTCCACCTGTCATTGTCTCGCTGAAGACCAGTACCCGTGAAGGTTCGTATTATAGAATTGATCTTCAGCAACTCATGCTTTGACGTAAAGGGCGACTAACGGGGTCGGGTGGTCATGCTCGCTGACTTGGTTCAGATGCCACCATATCCCAATTTCGTAGATGCTGTTGATCACTGGTTTGTCTGGCCCAGACCCTATAAATTACAGACGGCATATAGCTGGAATATTGCTGAGTAGGGCGTTAAACAACAAACCATGACAAGCTGAAGATCAAGCCAAGCAACGTATATCCTGCCCCGATCGTAGGCTGTTACGGGACCACCAGTCCCCATTACTACATGGCTGGTTGAGGGGATGAGTTAAGTGGATTCGATGGTCACACTGTGTGACCTGACTCATGCGGGCTGTGGTGATTAGCGACTGCGTGAACCATAATGTACGCCAGCTGGTTTGCCTGGGTCTGACTTGAGGATTTACCATGAGTGTCTGGACGTATGAGTGACAAGCCAGGTCCACAAAGTGATTACAGAATCAGCCATGGAACAGAGTCTGGCTTAACTTGCACAAGTCTCTAATAAATAATAGTTTAAATGATAATTCTATGAATAAAAAGAACACATTGTCCTTCTGGCAGACTTGCGTCCTCTTTAAAGAATAGAATTATTATGCATCCATGGGCTTAGCATTCAGTACAGCCTTGGAGCAAGGCTAAATCTGACTATACCCCAAACACATATGGACTGATGGGTAGTCAAAACACAGGGACCAACGTCTAGCTGACATCATTTATGTTAAAAGCTACTGGTACCAGACATAATAGTTCCACAACTCAGACAGGTCTCGTGTTTCTGACAAGTGCACTACTGACTATTGTCCATACAGTCTCAAGGTCTAGCCGTAAACCCCGCTAACAACAGGCTTTACGTCTAGAACCAGCTTGCAGTTCAGGGTCCCTATGCACTAATACACATCCCCCACCCATAAAAAAGGGGGAAAAAAGAGAGAAAAAAAGAAACGTTTGTGGCATTACGGGCTATCGGAGCTATGTACTTCAATCACAGGCATCGTAGTGCTATGGCCGTTTTAAGGATTGGAACCCTGCCCTTTGTCCAGACACACTTAGTAGTCCAGGCCTTTGCAGCGCTAACAGGCCGCGTAAATGAGGATCCGGATTAGTAGTGGTTATTAGCAGAAAGATACAGCATATGGGACACCTTAGTCACATCTCCTGAAGTGTGAACTCTAGTATTCAATTTCCTGTATCTAAAACTTGCTTGAGGCATTCTACTGCTCAATCAACCACAGACATGGCCATTAACCGACATTGTCTCAACCCACCGATATACATTTACTGATGTAATCTCTGCAGTAAAAAAGAACTGGAATACTGGTATTATGTAGAAATAATGATGGTAAAGATATGGTGAGATTGAATACACAACCTACTGCTGAGCAGAACAGCTCATGTGGACAAAAATTGGTCCTCCAAAATTATTGCCACCTGAAAGCAACATAACAGTGTTCTGGTATAGACATTTGACCAGCCTGAAGGCTCTCTACAATGTCCATTGGCCACAAAGTACTGGTATAGACATTTGACCAGCCTGAAGGCTCTCTACAATGTCCATTGGCCACAAAGTACTGGTATAGACATTTGACCAGCCTGAAGGCTCTACAATGTCTTGGCCACAAAGTACAATGTCCATTGGCCACAAAGTACTGGTATAGACATTTGACCAGCCTGAAGGCCCTCTGACCAGCCTGAAGGCCCTCTACAATGTCCATTGGCCACAAAGTACTGGTATAGACATTTGACCAGCCTGAAGGCCCTCTACAATGTCCATTGGCCACAAAGTACTGGTATAGACATTTGACCAGCCTGAAGGCTCTCTACAATGTCCATTGGCCACAAAGTACTGGTATAGACATTTGACCAGCCTGAAGGCCCTCTACAATGTCCATTGGCCACAAAGTACTGGTATAGACATTTGACCAGCCTGAAGGCCCTCTACAATGTCCATTGGCCACAAAGTAAAGTACTGGTATAGACTGACCAGTGATATTGGCCACAAAGTACTGGTATAGACATTTGACCAGCCTGAAGGCCCTCTACAATGTCTATTGTCCACAAAGTACTGGTCCAGATATTTGACCTGTGTCTTAGGTCACAGGCAACAGGAGGCCCTCTACAGTGTCTATGGGCCACAAAGTACCGGTATAGACATCTGACAAGCCTGCCAGGTCACAGGAAACAGAAAGACTTCTACAATGTCAACTGGACGCAGACCGTCACTTGTCTGTTCTTGAAGTAATTCATCTTGGTGTCTGTTTATAAAGCCTCACACACTCACTCATGCAAAAAGTTTGGACTAGACAAACCATTGGCTGATCTTGGACCAACGTTCTACATCGTCATGCTGGATGACAATGATGACAAAATAGCCACCTCCACAGACCATCCTACATATCTGCAAGTAGAGATCTCTGAGGACTTTGTTCTTATCCACCAACACAAACGTGGCTTTTTGGACACATATCCATGTGTTTTGTGTTCATGGGTTACCACTCTGGTGACACTTAAAAGATATATCTTAATGACCTCATATTACCGGCTTCAATAAAGAGAAAGACTGAAACGAATAGTTTTGCAAACGTTTATTGATACAAAACCCTGAATGACCAAGGAGTAGAAAACAATGGCGAAAAATGAATTATGAATAAATGAACAAATGAATTTCTTATGAACAAATGAATACAATAATGTATTGTTCCTCTAAGGAATGTTCTATTGATGCTATAATGACAGGTGGAACAAACATTGACCAGCCTAGACCATGGTGGGACAGATAGTAGTCTCCCCTTAGGTCACAAGGTCACCACCAAGTGGCAGCATGATCTAAGGGGAGATAACCCCTTCTGGGTGGGAAAGAAATTAAATTACAAAAGAGAATATCTAAGACAATTGAATAACCTGGTCAAGGCAAGACAGATTAACATGACAATGACTTGGAAGCGAAATATCTTAAAGAGATCTATTGTAGGCACAAATTGCAGAATTCACATGGAAGCCGATCTGGTGTAAAACAATCGAATTGTACACTCGCACATACCAATGAAACGTTTAAGACAATTTTGACACTTAGGTAACTTGATAATTTTAGCACCCGAAAATGATTAAAATTCAGCAGAATTAGATTTATCGATTCTGATCAGGAGTATTAAAGATTTGGACAGCCCTAACTGATCATCAGAGGGATGCAGAAGGACTGAGGGCATGGACAGGTTCATTCACTAGCTCCAGTCACTGCAGACACATGATGATTAATAGATATCGTAAGTTAGCTAATGCCTTGAGGATCACAGTCACACACACACAAACATGTTCACTAATGAATTTGTATATTTCAAATTTCCACCAATGAAATTGTCCGCTTGCTCATGGATGACTGATGGAACAATGTCATGATTGTCTCCATTTCATGGCTGATGGATGTGACAGATATAGAACGACAATAAATAAAGTTGGTCTGATATGCAATTGGTTGCAAAAATAAGCACAGCTATATTTTGAGTATAAAAATCTTGCTTGGTGCATAGATATTATTGCATTTCATTGACAACCAAGTTCAGTAATGGATGGTGACTGGAGCTAGTGCGAAGTCTTGACAGACCTCCTCTGTGTACAACAAACAGGGACACGACCACGCAACACGAAAACCGTACTTCCAGGGCTCATTTCAAAGACTACTTCTTGAACATTTTCAAAACAACGAACTCAAAGACAAACAAATTTGGTCAGTATCTGCTGTCACTGTATTATTCATTACAAGTTTGGGGTGAATTCTAGCCTAACAATTTTCCTGTACAATTCCATGTCAAGTATACTGTTTTTGAGCTATTGTCATGTTTGTTGACCTTTTGAACTTCTTGGCGGGACTACAGATTTGATTAGTATTTAGAAATCAATTGATTAGCATTCATGACCATTCAGTGTTTAAATTACTGACAAACAGGCACAAAATGGGCACACAGGGCCCTGTTCCACAAGGTGATCTAAGCTCTGGGACTAAGTGCGAGTTAATGGTCAAAGCACTAAGATGGCTTTGTGGAAGAGGACCGGACAGTGCTACAATAACCGTTTGTTCTGACCATCACTCTTACAACAGAACATTCATTCATGTATTTCAACAGAACCAAGGGAAGCAGTGACACTGACAAATGTCCCTTGGTTCTCGACTAAAACATCACACATGTGGCAAATATTTTCTCCATTACACTTTGTACAATAGAACATAATAATATGCAACAGAACATTTTCACTCCTTGTTTATAATGGAAATAAACATTTGCAACATGGGAAAATATCATTTGGATAGGCCTGCAACACAGAACATGGAGACTACAGGATGCATCAACACACAACTAATAACACATGTTTTAGGACTGCATCACTAAAACGTTCAGATCTCCGGAAGTGGTTACATGTCACAGGGCAGCCACGACACCACAACAATATACCAGTACTCCTGGGGAAGATGCCATTCATCAAAAGTCTGCAGCTCATTTCAGACTAGTAGTTTATGTATTTTGATTTTGGTACAGAACTAGCCTCTCCATTTTCACATATCTTCCATGACTGTCTGTAGATATAACTCATAGCTGGGTAGTAGCACTAATTCAAAGGAAGTGGAATAATAAATTCTCACTGAATTTATATTTTCATGTGATCGAATTGTCATGGAAACAGCTGGATTTGGGTCACACTTCACTCAGGAGTGGGGTTTACGCTTTGAAGGGTATTCAAGCAATATACCTGGCACTGGGGAGGGAACATCCAGTAAAATCTTTCATTTAATGTTGAAACACTGAGCTAAATCACATCCGTTGTTTGTTGATGTCATAAACTGGATGTCAAATAATGAATATTTGGGCACACACCTGTGCTATATATTTTTCTAAAGGCATCAGAAAGAGTGACAGTGGACTGGTGTATTGCTGAGGAAGCTGGCTGCACTATGTATAGAGTATAGGACCACATCAAGAGATCTAACTGATCGCTAATAGTGAGGTAAACTGGGTCCAGTCATGACAACAACAGCATTAAGTTAAATAAATAAATAATGTCAATAAATACCATGGTGATGTAGGAATACTTAATTTATGACATCTTCTGACAATGTGTCAAACATGACAATTCTGGAGTATTTTTTTATATTTTTTCTCTCAATATTTTCAATACAAAAAATAATTCAGACATTTCCCCATGACAACGAAATGCCTAATGTGGAGCAAATAAATAATGGAAAAAAAACATAACTGGCAAGGTTTTTTTTTTCATGAATTGAGGCATTGCACAGTCTATATTAAATGAAGATATGGTGATATATGCTCTTGGCATACACCTCGTTCTGATCACTTGATAAAAATAAACAATACAAATTTGTAAAGTACATTCTTGTTCCTACTGTCAATCAGGGAATGCACAACTTTCAAAATCATAGGAATTTAAGAAAAGGTCAATTGTGGTTCATTTGGAATCAGTTACTAGTGTATGAATATAAACCCAAACAAATGGCTCAGAGAGCAGATACTTTTCAAAACAAATTTGGCAGCTCAGGTTCATGAGAATGGCTTGCTATGATAACAAGTTTTGTGACAAATACTCTTGCTATGCGCTGTAACCTTAGTGAGTGATATGCATTTGAAAGTTGTCTTAAGACAAGATAAGTGATACTGTGGTCATTAGGGAATCATTTATATTCAGAGAAACAGCCAGTAATAGACTTATGCAATGATCACGTGAAAGAGGCTTAAGCTTCAGGGAATGATGCACACAGACACATAGAAATCACCATGAATTCATTTCATTTGATAACCACGACAACAGATTATAAAGATATACAACTTTCTGGTAGCATAGTCTAATTTTTTAACAGTTGATCCTGCATAAGAAATGGTCAAAGGAAATGAAGAGACCACTCGTCAGTGACGTTTCCATGACGATGAATATTTTATATCAAGTGGCCATATGCAAGGCATCAAGTAAGTTGAAAAAGAAGACTTGTGTATATTCTGCAAGAACAGAGCTTTATCTTAACAATGATTCTGACAGAAAAAGTAACAAGATTTCTTAATGGTATGATAAATTCCTCTACCCATACAGGAACTTGTACACAACATATTCATCTGTTCAGCCTTGCACAGCAAGAAGGTATCTACCTTGTCAAAAAGAAGCCTTCTTGTGTTCAAACATGCATATTTTAAAATTTCATTAAGAACAAAAACATGTTTGGTTCTTTTGAAACTTGTTTCCACATGTAAATACTGACGTATTGGGATGGTCAAACATTAAATGAAGTTTTAAAACAGGCAGGTCAGGCTCAACCACCAGAGAGCATCTAAGAGCATTCAACAGTAATTAGAGATTTTTTACAGGCTTCTTTTAACAGGCGTAGCATTCTTAATTTACCGTTGTCGATTGACATTTCACGAAGCATGCTTCCGTTGATCTACACAACGTTATTTTCAAAGTCAGTCGTTCTCATGCCAAGCCTGTTAAAACAAGCCAGTCAATATATCAACTCTTTGTTTCATAACTATTTAATATAACCCTGAGCGAAACATTTGAACCAGTGTTCCAACTGAATGAAACCGCCAAGAACTGTTCATTCTATCTAAGTACGACAAATATTGATCAACTTATGATTGCGCGCATCATATTTATGACTAGATGATGCCTTGTAAGTGCAACAACAGACTACCTATATATCTATATACAATCAAGCATGCACATAACACACGTCGTCATCGCAGCCAATACGCTGACATCGCACCTTAATAAGTTAGGAATCCGGGGCAATTTTACACAGATCTATGTACAATTAATGGGCACACAATTCAATAGTATATATTAGTTTCTTAGCCCATAGGACAAACCAAGTATGAATCCACTGACACATGTAATAAGTTAATTACCTGGGATATTCAAGATTAGTGTTTTGATTTCGAGGACACAGTAACTCATTAAATAAATCTACAATTCTCTGTGCCCTCCAAAATAAAGCAAATACTTGAAAGACACATGCACAACTAATAAATTAATGGCACCCATATCAACGAACCTAGAAACAATTAGTTACTATCATGTGACTAATTCTCTCTCACTGCAACAGGCTTGGCAAAATGTTGGGGAATCTTCAACAGTTTCAAAACAACTACTGTGACGGAACTGAAAATGTGGCCAATTTCAACAAAAAATTTAGAAAGCTTATACACCCATTTATTTCTTTTGTTTCAGAGAATTAGCTCTCCTACAAAGTTATATAATAATTAACGTTGTGTCCGTGCCTGTGGTTCAGGAACTCTAAGATACATGACTCAATGGACTCAAAAGCGATTTGTCCTCATCTTGAGTAAACGGTGGATTTACATGAAATTAATTTCAAGACATGTTACGTAAACAACATTGTAATTCAGTTGTTTCTAGAAGAGGGCACCTGTCAGACCCTGGACCACTGCCTCACTGAGTAGTTTTCACCAAACACACTGTAAGCCATACAACATCATAAATATATAGGACTTTCCTATCTACCCAGTCATCTAACACAGGGTCTGATGAGAGACTAATATTGATATACATAGCCAGTATATGAAACTTTCAGCAACAATGTATAACAAAATTACCACTGAATACATATCAGATAGGGAAGAGCACACTGCATTGAAAGTTACTTTTAACACTTTTACAAATTCTTCCTCTGAAGTAGAAAGTGTGTCCACAACGAACAAGGAAGTAATCTTACATGTTAGTGTTACAGTGACAATTTTTACCCCCAATACGGTCTTATTTGGACAAACTCGTTTTCTGAAACAAGAATGTTAAACTGAAAGCTTTATCTATGATTAAATTGATAAGGAACGTATATTTACAGTTTGATTAAGATTTAAGAAGAAATGTATGCACCATACGCCTACTTCAAGACATCTACGAAATAGTTGTACCTAGATATTTGATGAGTATTATTATATAAAAGCTAAGCACTTAAGGTACAGGGGTAATTTTTCCATAAAATATATTAATAGAAGCTCAATTTATACAGTCTGGTGACTACTTCATAATTTTCACAGGGTAATAAAGTCAAAATTGACAACCTGATCACCGAGATGTACATGTTTCAAATCTCAAGCCATACAAACTTGTTCCTATACCTATGGTGGAAAACTACTCATTGTGCAGAGAAAAAACTTTCCAGAAAGTCAGGTGAATTATACAGACACACAGACTAAACCAACCACATAGGACACATAGTCAAAATCAAACCTTGAGAAAAAGCTGAACATTGTACAATTCAGTTCAAATTTAAACAATCCTCTCGGAAGAAGACAAGTTTGGTGCATTTCCTTAAAACAAAAATGATTTCATATCAACAAATAGAATCAACATATACATGATAGAAAACTTAGAATTTTAAATAAAGATTGTTTGTTTAGGCTGAATGTCATAAAAACAAACCTTGACTCGGATCACAACAACTTATGTAGACAAACGTAATAGAAGACCACCTCTGTCCAAACAGAATCAAGAAAAATCCCACACTAATCATTAACCTCATTTTCATCCATAGAAAATAATGCTCTAGAAAGTAAATGATTCATCAAAGTGTGTAAAAATACTTCTGTTTTCATGGTAATTGTTCCCAATAATAAAAATCATCATTACATAATAATAGACTTCTTCAAGATCAAAAGTTTTTCGATGCATCAAAAACATTTTCAGTAAAACAGAAATCAAAGCAGATTTTGTTGATCACGCCTCAGCATGGGATCTTCCTTGTGTTGACAGAACCAAATAACTATATACATACATACGTGTAAACAGTGGACATACTAAACTGGTAGGGTAGAGTGCCAAACCAAGAAACTATGCTCTTAGGACTAAGTATTTCTTTTGGAAAGGCATAAAATTAACCGTTCTAACCACCAGTTTGACCCTGTTTTCTGGCCAATCATAATACTATCAGTTATATTTCCACACAAATGGCAGTTTAGAGGTAATTATTCATACAGATTTTCAGATGATATTCCATATGACATGCTGCTTTAATCTGCATTTCAGCTGAAATGTCCTGAAGAAATGTTAAATTTTCCACAACTCCATTCCAACAGTTGCTTTCTTTTAGGCCTAAGACATCCTGATGGTACACAAGTTGTCACCGAACCACCGAACAAAACTGTAACAAACTGAAAAACACACACATTTGTAACATAACAATATGTATACTATTTTACACTTAGGAATAGGGCATTGAAATCTTGCTTGTGCTTATCATGGTGATAGCTTTAAGTTATGTCGTGGTGAATATTGGTCCTTCAAGAGAGAGATTGTTGGGAGTGAAGGAAAATCCTTCCTTGGAAGTCTGTGTACAGAAACCACCATAGCTTCAACAGCATATTGTCCATGGGTGACGAGGGATGCACTCAGATGAAGCTGATATGTAGTCTTTGCAATATTATGACAATGTCAGGGAATACAGGTCCGGAATAAATTAAACTGGCCTCATCGTTAACACTGCCCTAGCTAAGATGAAATGATGGTTCGTAATAAATATTTCGATGATATTTGGACAACTGCTTCTTATATTTGGTTTGACCGAGAACGCCATGTGAGCAGTAATCTCATACCCTTGGGGTTGGAGATCGTGTAAATGAATATTGTAAAAAAGGGCTTTGGGCTGTACATCATTTAGCACCCCAGTCAGAGGGGTCAAAGACAATGCCACACTGATGCACAGGAATATATGATGAAAGCACCAAACTGTTTCGTCAACTGAATAGCGAGCATCAGCAGCGAATACACAGAGTCAACATCCAGTTTTGATCCATGAATCGTTGCGCGGAAAAGGCTCTGACAAAAAATCATATTAATGCCACTACTGGCTGGGTGTGAACTGTAAATGAAGACTGTTACAAAATTGCAAAGTTGAATACAGGGTTGGCAGTTGACAAGAGTGGATCGTTGATGAATGGAACAATGTACACAACCCTTCAATGGCAGCAAGTTTGGGGAAGGCAGGCTTTGGATCCACAAATTTTTCGGTGTACGCATTACACAAGGATGGAATAGTCCTTTAGGCATCATCCCCTTCAGTGCCAGTAGGAGTATTTCCACAGCTGTGAACTTTGTACGTATCCACCATGGTCATCAGCTTCACTGGCTAACTGACAGAGGAGAGTAACAGTTCACAACCCTTATTCTTCCAACTGAAACTTCTCATGGCGAACCTACAGAGGTACTGTTACTTTCTACGTTGCAACAAGGCAGTTGAGCAAACACAAGTCATCATAATCCATTCAGAAACTTGCACACGCGTACTATCCAAGACTCTCACACTGTAAGCAGACAATGGTTTGATTTTTTTTTGTTTTTTTACAAAAGAAAATGGCAAATGGCAGATTCTTTGTGCAGAAGTGGAAGGATTTCCTGAGATGTTTGCCTCACGCTGAATCAGATCACTGTTAGCTTCAACATTCCATTGCCAATGCTCTGTGTGTAAAGCTGGCCTCTAGTTTCGAAGCAGCACAAGTGAGTCTCTCTAGTGAGAAGTTGGGAGTCATGGATGATGCTGCACAATCTTGGTCTGCTGTCACACGAGCATCCAGGAAGTCATTGTCGCCGTAGCTCTGGCTACTTGCGTTGCTCTCAGTCTCAACAGATTGGCTGCGATGTATTTCTGTCTTCGTGGTCACTTTGTCTCCTCGACAGGTGAAACAGGGCCTCAACAACTTGGGGTCCAGTAATACTTCTCCATTTAATCCCTTGAAGATGATTCCACAACACACTTGAGTTCTACAACAGAACAGATGTCATATATAACATAAACAAAACATTCTATTCCAAGTATCCAAAAAATTTATAAGCAAGAATAAATGACTTTACAGGTTTATGTTTCAAGCATTATGTAATATCCTTGTTGGAAACTCCAAGCTAGGGCGGCACATATTACACCTGTTTATGCAGAGAACTCAAAGGACAAGGGCTTATTCATGTGCAACTACAAGGACAAGGGCTTATTCACATAGGGCATCAAATGATTTTAATGGCTGTAATGAAGTCATGGAACACAAACAAAAGTTTAATGTCTAATCAAAAACATAAAATCCAAAATGGCCGCCTTCTCACTTTTTCCAGTAACTGAGATCTAGAAAGGAGCTGACTCGAGGGTGAGCAAGACTGGGAGATCTCTTCCTGTGCTTGGAGCTGCTGCTGTCTCGTGAATCCTCATTGTCGGACTCGTCACTCAGACTTAGGGAACGCTTTCGAGGAAATGAGACGTTTTGACTCAATGTCTCATCACCTGCTGACACAAAGAAAAAGTTGTCAAAACAAGCTTCATGATTTCCTGAAATGTGATTGAAATGTTTTTAACAAAGAGAATGAATTAAACCAAAATTGCACAAGCTGTTCTACATGGTCTTTGTTAGATAAATAACTACAAAATGTTCATTTTAATTTCAAGAGAATTCCCCAGGGAGTTTATGGTAAGATGTGATTCTTTCAGTAATTATTATAGGAACTACTAAAGGGTAGGATGAAAAGGACTGATACCCTTTAATGGTTATAGTCTGGGTATTTCACTTGGATCATAATCCTTCTTTGAGTGAGTGAGTTTGGTTTTATGCCGCTTTTAGCAATATTCAAGCAATATCACGGCAGGGGACACCAGAAATGGGCTTCACACATTGTACCCTAGTCTGTCTCACAGTCCCTGAACCACATTATTTTCCCTACTGCAAAGCCCTCTCTGCAGTTCTAAAGCCCTAAATAAAGCAAGTCTAGATTTCCTCAGGTTCAGGTCTGAATCTCTGGTCTCCCTGAGGCTCCTTTTCAATTTACATGGGCTGGTTTGTTACTATCAAAATTATATATATTCAGAGACTAAACATTAGTCTAATTGTACCCATGTGGTAATCCTTGTATGAATCAAAATTCACTTCTCACAAACTTGGCACAATAACACCTTGCCACAAATAATAAAAGTAAACAGTAAGCAACAAGTCTTCCATGAAACACTTATGGGATATTTTGATTTGTATCAGTAGAAGGAGACAAGCACTTGTTCATCTACACTCAGGAGTATCTACACACCCTGTGAACAGCAAGACAAACACTCTGCCACCACCCAGACAGCAGGTATAGACTATAGTACACACAACCTAAATCACTCTGGGGCTTATCTCCGCCCACATTCCACTCGAACCCACACATGTTTCTAATATCACTTACAAATTGACCTGACCTATGTTCATTTTTGGTAAACTGGGCCAGAATTCCAAACTGAAACACTGGAGATGGCAGCAACCAGCTGGAGAAAGAATCCAGTATTTCAGTTTCAAACTGCGATCAGTGTTTCCAAACATTTAAAAACAATGGGTTTTGTGATACGTCCCCAATGAAACACACTCACAGTAAGTGGCATACTACCCAACTTACTCATATTCACAGTGGAATGTCCACCTTAATGACAATCAAGGGCATACAGTAGGGAATGACTCCAGTAATTAATCTGCCCCACAGTCCCGATTAAAAGGGTTTGACTGGTTGGGCAAATTCATCTATTTCATGAGCACCTTATGTTAGAAACATAAGGCATATAATCTCCAAAAGATTTTCAAAGTCAAAACTGGAGAATGGACATTGCAAATTGGTGAAGCAGGGCCATCTTCTACACCCACATGATTAGATCGTCAGGTGTAACACTAATGAACAGACAACAGCCAATGAGTTTCAGATTTCCTAACAGATGTCCCTCAACCACCCTCCTCTAGCAACAGTACAGGGAACAGAACTGCAACTGTGGGTAGACTCTCCCCTACTGAGTCCCAGTCACCACTCAAATATGTAGAAAGGGTGTGGTCTGCTTCTGTGGAGCTGGTGCAGCAGGCAGGCAGCTCTGTCGACCCTCGGCCTGCACAGTTTGCCCCGAGCAGCTTCATCCACAACCCTGTATTCTGCTGCCTGAGGTTACTGGGTTATTGTTATGATCTTGTGGGAGTGAATGACAAAGCATGTTATAACCTGCTGCTCAATCCTGCATTGTTGGGATTCCCCTCCTAAACATGTTGATGCAAACATTATCTAGCCGTGTCACGATACCTGTCTCACAGGGACGGGGTAGTAGCTACTATTTTGTAAATCTACATGTGGCGTAATAAGCAGGCCATGGCAGTTTTAATATTAATATTGAAAACTGTGAGACTGTTTCACTGGTGACTTCCTTTGTTGCCAAGCAACCCATCAAAAATATCAGTTGATAAAAAGACTGATAAAATCAACATAATTTGAGATTATGCAAACAGATGATAAAATGAATATATTTATCATTAAATTAGCACACAGACAAATAAAACAAACATTAATGTTGCCATGTTTTGCCATAACATAGGTTACTAAAACTGAAAATATTCAACTGCAATATAATTCATCAAATCACTAGGTGACACAGAACTGCAGTGAGATGGCCTCAACACAATCCTAACTGTTTTACTGCACTTCAAGGGCTTCTACATAAGCTTACTTTCAACAGTAGGCTGTGCTGTAAAGTGTTATTTTGTTGATAGGGGGTTAGAGCTCTATGTCTGTAGGAGTAATCTCAGAATGCCAGCCCCTTGTAACATGAGTTTTTTCCACTCCTTTCTAAGGGGAGGATGGATCTTTGCTTGTTTGAACTTTCATGACCATCTATGTCTTCTGGCTGTAGGTTAGCTTGTGGAAAATTACTTTAGCACATGCTGAGATAGAATTATCACCCAGACGTATCATGTGACACCATCCAGTTTGGCCAAATCGACAGGACCACATCCCCTCATGTTATGCTGTTCTCACTTCTTATCATGACAAGAAAAATATCTTTAGAACAAAAATCATTCAATTCATAAGAAAGATTTTCATCCTTATATCTTCCTTTTTCTCTGTAAAACAACAAAATTTTCTCAACAAAATACTAAACATTATTAACTTAAGATGAATGAGCAAGTGTTATTGCAACTTGACATATTCCTGAACTATTCGAAACATGAAAATAAAGATTTGACTGGAGATGTGAATACTCATTGCTGTCATTACAAGCAGAAATATTCACCCATTGGGCTCCCCCGCCACCCCTTAAATAATCCAGATCAAATATGAGCCAGACTTCCTCAACCCAGATTTTCACCTGAGAATTCATCTGAGAGTTGGCCGGGACTGGGAATGCTGTAAGTTTTTCTTTTCTCTTTGTTTTTCTTGATCTTCTTGTGTTTCTTGAACTTGAGTGGACTCTTGTTCTTGATCTTGAGGGCTGACTTAGTGCCAGGACCTGCCCGAGCATCCACTACCTGTAAACACACAACAAATAGTGCCAGGTAACCTCAAAGGTACATGCAAGTTTGTCAACCTAACCTGTTTACTTTCACTGCAGACAAATGTTGTGCGTGCATCATGTGTGTATACAGTTTTGCCGATGTGAGAATTGGCTACGTTTCATGCAACAACTTTCTCACACGTGAAAAACTAAAATTGCATTACTCTCATGAGTAAGTTACCATTCATAGAAGTTGTACATATGACAATTACCTGAAAATACATATTAATTATATTAAAACATCAGTATTAATCACATGATTGGCAGGAAACATGGAGGAAAAGTTCCATTTGAAGACAAGACACAAACAGTTTGTTGGCAGTGATGAAGCCGCCACTGGACGGGGTCCAACAAGCAATGTTGTGAATGAGTGAAGGTTGTACGCAGTATCCACTTCTGAGATGTTTGTTTTGGATAACTTGGGGCCTGTTAGAAACTACCCAGAAAAATCACTGAATGGAAACTCCACCTATCTGACATAGTGCCAAGAGTAGTTTTCTAATGAGACCACTGATGACTGGCATGAAATAGATGCGTAGAACAAGAGTGTGATGTGCACACACAGTACTGTGGGTTGAGGAGAGGGTGGAGGTGAGGGTGGAGGTAAGGGTGGAGGTAAGGGGTGGAGGTAGGGCAGGAGGGGAAGAGGAGGAAAGGGGGTGTAGGGACAGAAAAGAGGAGCAGACATCAGTCACATTGAATCTTGGTGTGAAAATTATACATAAACAAAACTAAACAATTATCACATTATCAACACCATGAATGGGCATCATAGTTTGTACCCATGTAAGAAAATGAACCTCAGTTTGGGCAGCAAAACACCACTATAGTAGATCTACTAGGCAGCAGTTCATACCATCATTCATATCTAACTAGGCCACAGCTCATAACTAGTGCTTTTGTAAAATAGGTGGATTCTTTCATAAAACAACCAGTCCGTCTCGATTGTAACTACGAGTGGCCATGTCTATCTCTGTCTACTTGGGATCTTGTCTATGAAATGTTGAGAGTATGCAGGTGGGACAGAGAGACAAAAATGATGCCAGACACATAGTCTAGACTCTGACAGCTGAGACAGATGGAAAGGTAGACAAAAGAGTGATGAAATGAAATGAATGAGGAAGGAGAAACCAGTGTAGTAAAAGATCCTGGAATTATTGTTTTTGAAGTTAGAATGTGCAAATGTCTAAATCATGGAATACTAACATGACTTTGAGCATTACGACTACAAGGACCCTTGACCTTCCATAGCTGACTACTATCAGGTTGTTGAGTGGTTTGAAGGGCAACAAAAGGTAGAGTGGGGTGGTGTCTAATACTGTCTATAGTGGGGCAGGGGGTAAACAGTTTAGGGGAGGCTCCTGGCAGGATGCAGATTCATCCCCATGCAATGCAGTCTATGTCATATTAAAGTACAAGCCAGCCGTGGGGCAGGCCAGTGAGATCGACATACTAACACACTGACCCACTGTGTCTGGCCCACTGCCACAACACAGCCGAACATTTGCAGATTTATCACGCTTACAAAACTCATTGTTCCTGTCAAGCGGCAGCCACTCAAGTTACATGTTTTAAGCAGCACCCTATGAGTCAATGTTTATAAAGAATGCAGCAGTTGAAGAAACCGTAACACGAGCAAGTGCAGTGCACATGTAAGGCTGAGCGAGCATGCATGCGAGGTGGCTGCCGGCACTGCTGCCGCTGCAACACGTGGTGCTGCAACTGATGGCTTGCTGCTGCATCTGCGCAGACATTTACCCACTATCAAAACAGGTGCCCTGTTTGCAGTCGGCATGCCGACCAACTACTCTCCTTTGCTCACACACAAACGGCTGAATATTTTGCCTGTGTATTGAAGAGGTGAAGGTCACCCTCGCCCGAGAGTCGGCTCCCAGTTATTCACTCATATCAATCCCACTATTAATATTACACTTTACCTCTCAACTTCATACATTATGCTAATGATAATTTATTCTAAATTATAAGTTTAAGCCTGACAATTTCAGCCTGAAATACAGTGGTAATCAGACACATGGTATCCCTTGAACATAACATTATGTGGAATTCAAACTTTTGCCAGAAAATAATTTAATTACTGCCTATATATATAAATGACCGACAACAAAAACCACCTCAACACATGAAATGCAAAGCAAATAATTTCTAAATATACATTCCTTTGAAATTGACAAGTAATGAGAGGCTTGGATGATCTATAGATGAATTATGTGCTTCCTTGTAGGAGAAAATTAGACAGCAACGTGTTTTTTATCACAGCACGAGTTACATCTGACAAAATTGCACTTTTCAGTCTGCATGCTGCCACCGAATCAATTACCAGCTAGTATTGATCTGTCCCTGCCTCAGAATAGTTTGACCACAGTAGTGGCTGGGCTATTAATAGACTGTCGGACACTAAAACCGGCGGTAACACTAGCTCACAGATACCTATGCAGCTACACAGAGGTGATTTCAGCAGAACTACAAATTTCTACACAAAATGCATTAGTACGGCTGGAGCATGCATCCATGTTTGTAGACATGGCCCCTAATCCCCTGAAAGCCTTCTGTGCCAGTCAGACGAGTTCAGCTGCATAGGAAATTATAATGCAGCATTGGAGGGCATTCACCCTCCGATCTGATGGCTCTCTTCTCCCACTGTCGGCGGCAGACGCAACCTAATTTGGGGTCTTGCATATTCAGAATGGTGGCATGGCAGACTGGAGGGCTGGCTTTGAACAACCATGAAACCTGCAGTGTCAAGTATTGGCTGAGTGATATTCTGCTTCCTACTGAAGCCCAACACTTGGATTAACCTCGTCCACAAACTGACATTGAACTAAATACTTGCATCACTGCACGTAAATATTGCCGAAACAAAAACTCAATTGCTTGGGAGGGAAACAGGAAAACATTGATTTTGGGAAACTGTTTCCATTATATTTACAGCTTTCCACAGCCTGAACACAAATCATGACACCTTAACTGAAGAACTTTGTCCAAGAAGTAAATGATCTTGAAGGTGCTGAAAGTCACAATGTGTTTGGCTCACTGTCACACTGAACACACTCTGAACTTCTGACAAGAATGGTGCAAGTGAATCATACATCTTGTACACCAACACTTAAGTTGTAACAAGCTTGAGATTTGATCTGTTTACACCAACATAAATATTGATGTTGTATTCAAACCTCATTTAAGCTGAACGACAATCCACATTGGCCAGATCAAAGAAACATCAACAGCAGCTGCTTTAACAACATCTATTAAAAGACCCAGTGCTCCCAAACCACAGTTTCAGTTAGGGGATTTACCATCAGATTGTTTGTACAGCAGTTCCCCATCTGATCATTTTACATGGCTATCCTTAACCCCTGCCATCAGTAATAATTTGACCAAATTGCTTCCTGCCAATATGGCATCCATCAGGTCAATCCAACAAGGCGACCAGCCTGCATCTTTTGACCGAATTCCAACATGCATATATTAGCCCAAATCAAACACCTCAGAACAGAGGTGTTAGTCTGGCTGGCGGCCGAATGGACAAAGGCAACTGCCCATGCTGCAGGTCAATGGCCCTGATTGCAATGTTGCCACAGAAATAGATTAGCTGAAAATGGAGTAAGTCGAGATAGGTGGTGATAGTCATGTCCGCCAACTGCTTAGCGACACCTGGCAGAAGGAAAAGCTGGAACAGACATGCTCTACACATCCTCAGGCTTCTTTACCCAAAATAGATTTTACCAGGTCAGGAGAGTTTTTTCAGCATGCAAGAAATACTTGTTACTGTACTGGAAAGAATGTACAACCATGATGAGTTTCACAGTTCCACAAGATGATGCTAGTGAAATGGACTGTACTTGATACTACTCTTACAGCTTGTCAAAGTCTTAGGAGAAATGTTTTCACTGAGAGAAGGTAGTTTCAACAAAGTAGAATGAGAAAACTTGAAAAACAGTCGACAATAATCTGTTTCCCCTTAAAATATAAAACATGTTGTTTTGTTTGAGAAAGAAAGGTGTTCAGTGCTGCTGACTTGAATCATCATGCAGCCTCAGACAGCAGCCATCAATACTATTGAGCTGACCAGCCAGAGACTGTGTGTGGCAGCTGACCATGTTATCAAGGGATACTTCTTTTCTGTCAACATGCCACATTCAATTCATAGCCAATTAGTCATGTTTGCCAATTACCTGCCAAGCAAGTAGCTTCAGAATAAGCCCCACACTGTGAAGTCTGTACATCCATAAATTCCTACCAAAATTGAACTGGTAATGAAATGACAAAAGTAGAGAATTCTTTCCATCAGTTGATAAATGTGACTGGTGCTATTTATTTTGAAAACAAACAAGACAGACCAGGGATGCCCTTCCCTTCCCAGCCAACCCACTCCAAACCTGTCAGATATCAGAGACTGTATGTGATTGTATGTGCCCACGAACCCTCCATTAGCAGCTTTCACCCTGCACACTTTTGTCATGTCAGCATATATATATTTTTACCTGTGTCATTCTCTGCACCATTATTCACATTCTGTCACACCTAGGTCAACTGTAGTGAGTTTCACAATGCTGCACAACATCAAAGGAAGAGTGTGATGATGCCCCCATCATCACATATCTTCTATTCCATCACCGTTTTATTTGATGATCGCTTGGTAAATTATCAGGTCTGGACAAAAATATCATGTTTGTTCCACTGAAAACTCACTCAACAATATCACATTCGACAATATGGACTCACAAAATACCATATTTGCTGAATTTATCACCTCAAGCGATTTGAAACTTACCAGGGTGGAGTAAGTATTAACTCAATTTCTAAGATGCTTTGGCAAGATCAAAGGCAACAACTTTTTGCATGACAGTCACACTGTGTATAGACGTCACTAGACCATTCTCGTCTGCCCCATTGTTATTAAACATAGCCTTGGTAACCAAGCCTCCTCATACAACTACAACAGTTCAGGTCAAA